AGTAAAAAAAGCTTTCCGCTGTAGTTAAAGTTGAAAGACTTTCTTGCTAAATTCCAAAATATTTTCATTTTTTTACTATTCCTTTCTTCGTTTTAATACCAAAACAGATTATATCTGATCACACAACCGACCTTGCTAAACAACTGCTAACAGATAATGCGGATCAAGTTTGTGTTGTTATTGACGGTACATACTTGTACATCCAAAAATCTGCTAATAACGAATTTCAGCGCAAATCATACAGTATGCACAAAAGACGATCACTTTTGAAGCCTATACTGATAACTTCCACAGATGGTTAGTTCATCCACCCTGCCTCGGGCTTCCCAACTGTTATCCTATTCTTTTATTGCAGGCTATATCATTAGTGTCTTAGGACCGTTCTTTTCTGATGCCAAAAATAATGATGCTGCTATCATTACTCATAGCTTGCTGAATAACTATGATGATATTCTTGAACGGTTACACAAAAATGACGTCATCGTCGTTGATAGAGGGTTTAGAGACGCAGTGAAGATGATGACAAAACTGGGTTTTTCTGTCGCTATCCCAAGCTTCCTGAATGGCAAAAATCAATTCGATACCGACGAAGCAAATAAGACCAGATGTATTACTAAGTTAAGATGGGTTGTGGAATCAGTCAACGGCAAAATCAAACAATGGAAATTTTTTTCTCACATTATTCAAAACAGCACAATCCCCTTTCTTTATGATTATTTACTGATTATTTGTTCACTGATAAATCGTTTCAGACCTCCTGCTATTTTGAATATCAACAAAGATTCAACGGCTATGGGTGCTGAGATGCTAAAACGTTTGCACGATAAAAATTCATTAAAAGAACGAATTATACAGTACGATCTAGCTAAAAACTCAAAATGGAAAAGTTATGATGCTACTGATTGTGACTTTCCAGAACTATCAGAAGACCAGTTAAGAGATTTAACTTTTGGTAAGAACACCTTATCTGTTTGTATACAACGACGTCCACCTGCCGCTCTCCTTTAGGTATTTTCCAATTACGTCAAGCAAAAAGTTATGTTGCCGAACATCTCGAAAAAGAAAAAAGTTCTTCAGCCAGTCCCGGCGCAAAAAACTTTTTTGTAGAATTATGCGATGAACAACCAGACATTGTTCGAGTGAAATATCAATCCCGATTTACGAATGCAAAAACACGTATTTCGTACATACAATTTGATGAAAACAAGAAGCAACCGATCGTATGTTGTTATTGTACGTGCAGTGCAGGTAGTCGTACAATTGGTTGTTGCTCCCATTCTGCAGCGACACTATGGTATCTGGGCTATCAAAGACATTTAATAACCCCATCATATGTACAAACTTCCGAAAAATATTTTGACCATGTCGAAGCCAGTCAGAAATACTCAGCCTACAGCAGTAGTTCTGAAGAAGATATGAAATACACACTTGGACATAGAACAGACAGTGATGGAAGCGATATTAGTCAATAGACGTATTCAAATGCAATTCTTTCCTGTTTAAGTATTTTTAATCAGCATTCCAGTGGCATCGAAAAACTTTTCACTTTAGTTATACTTTCTTTGGGTTGGACCAGTGCTGTATAGAGGAATCACCAACCTGTACTGACTCAACGTATAGATACTTGTGCATGTGATACTGTACATCTTGACTATGTCTTTAATATAGCCAGAATGACAAATAAGCTATGCAACAGTTTGAATATACGAGATAAAATGACAGACAGAGAAATGCGCAAAAAATCTTCACAGACTGTTCGACAACTAAAAGACAGAAGGATAGTAGTATCCGTCCGCTTTAGCAAAGAAAAGCAGATTAAAATCTATGTGTGAATGTACATGCGGTTAGAAAACTGAAAATATATGTAGGAATTCACAGAGACAGAAAACATCATGCTATATCGCCCTTTACAGCTTATGCATTACCATATAGTCTATCTACCAGGACATCACACTTTCATGAACTCTCTTTCTACACTAAAGACTAGTTGCATCCTCTCTCTAAAACGGCTAAAACATTCATTGTACTGATTTTTAGGGGTCATTGGGCTCATATTTGACCTATAAAGGATTGAGCCAATGATATGTAGGGTTTGTTTAATCGGAATATTGTAGAGCTTTTCAAGAGCTATTTTTCTGTACTAAAGACTAGTTGCATCCTCTCTTATTTATGGGAGTAAAATGGCTAAAACATTAATTGTACTGATTTTTAGGGGTCATTGGGCTCATATTTGACCTATAAAGGATTGAGCCAATGATATGTAGGGTTTGTTTAATCGGAATATTGTAGAGCTTTTCAAGAGCTATTTTTCTATATCAAGCTTTACCGTACCTGTATATTAGATTTTGAGCAAATTCGTTTTTGTTAAACACCGATATGCTTTATGTACCCCCTCAGAAAAGTTATTTTAGGAAGTCCCGATAATGTTATGATGGTTCATATGCAGTTCAAAATGTGTAAAATCGTTTTCTCTACAATATGTGATCATAACGAAGCCGAAAAAGCAGTGGGCCAAATGCAGTGGAAAAGCGAGCCCCCTCCTTTACCAGTTTGTAGAGGACACCTTCAACGGTATACGTGTGCAATAACTCACGGGTTGGATAAGTTTTGGTGGAGAGGTAAAATTTTTAAGAATTGAAAAAATACATTTTCCCAGCTATTTTGCAGGTGATGCAAAAACTATTTCTTGCGCAGTCCGCTGCGTCAACGAAGCCTTTTGGGAAGTTTATGTTAATGCAAAAATTGCTCATTGCATTCATCTCTACCGGATGACATATTTTGTTTTCCCCAAAACTTACTAATTAGCAGTTATTTTAGCCCATTTTTAGAAATATTGGATTCCTAAACGCTTTATTACTGTGACTACGCAAGCTATTTTCTAAATAACTTTGACTAACAATAGTTAGAGAGTTGCTGTCTTCGTCATTCGATAGCCAAGACATCACCGCACCTTTATGTAACACATGAGCTTTCCAAAAGAGTTTTAAAAACCTGTTTTTCAGGAGATCTCTGGAAAATCGAATCATAACTCGGAAATTCGTAGCATAAACCTTTTTTTCGAATTCTTTTCTAAAAACGAGCACCGTCATCAGATTTTGCGATGCTGACTAGTATGTTTCTTGAGATCTCAATGTCACCGATGTCTTGGCTATCGAATGACGAAGACTGCAACTCTCTAACTATTGCTACTATCCGTTCCAAATGGTCAGACCGCTGGTTGCTTTTTGAATAACTTTTGATAGGAATGGGATAGAGACCTGCGATCTTCGCTGTTCAATAGCCAAGACTTGGGCAGAACTTTTCACAAGCGGAAGCAACTTTTGAAAAATTCCAGAGATCGGGTTTTCAGAGGATCTTTCAAAAACTAGCTCCGTTCTCAGAAAACTAACATATAATGTTAGTAATTTTTTTACATGCGAATGACGAAGACAGCAACTCTCTAACTATTGTTAGTCAAAGTTATTTAGAAAATAGCTTGCGTAGTCACAGTAATAAAGCGTTTAGGAATCCAATATTTCTAAAAATGGGCTAAAATAACTGCTAATTAGTAAGTTTTGGGGAAAACAAAATATGTCATCCGGTAGAGATGAATGCAATGAGCAATTTTTGCATTAACATAAACTTCCCAAAAGGCTTCGTTGACGCAGCGGACTGCGCAAGAAATAGTTTTTGCATCACCTGCAAAATAGCTGGGAAAATGTATTTTTTCAATTCTTAAAAATTTTACCTCTCCACCAAAACTTATCCAACCCGTGAGTTATTGCACACGTATACCGTTGAAGGTGTCCTCTACAAACTGGTAAATTTTGAGGGCATGTTTGGGGGGGACACCCCCTTAAGGATAATGTGTACAAATGGAACCTAACGACGGAACTACCTCAAGTGCTCGATCGTTTACCTCCTGAAACGCGCTTGGTCATGCGTAACTTTTGATCATGACACGAATCTGACGCTCGCTCTTGCTTTTAGAGGCTTCCTTTATGGATCTCTAGAACTACGCTTTCCACAAATGCATCAACTATTAGCAGTTGTAATAGCTTTTTATCATTTACTAAGTTGTTCACTTTTTATTACTGCGTTTCTTGACGTATTTTTGATGGATGATGATGATTTCGATGTAGATGCCCTTGCATACTTAAAAAATATAATTAAATTTCATTCTTTGTATGGATTTCTTTTGCTTTATTACAATATTTAAAAACAGAAAATGTTTAAATTTTATTTTACTTATGTAATTGGAAAAATGTATATTCCTTCAATGAAAGATTGCTTGCTTACAGCTGCGTACACACCAATACCATACAAAAAATTTCATTTTGAACCAGTCCCTATCAGTACTAAAGCTTTTTTCAGTCACCATTTTGTTCTGTCAAAAGCGTCAAAAGTTCTTAGTTTACTTGTGCCATTCCATTCTTGCTTATTTTTTCATAGAAAAAGAAGCGTTTTTAGTGTGAGCGGACTGGGCGTATATTTACCGTGGAAAGGTATATTTTATGCGATTTAAATGGTGTCCTGTCAGTTCGTCCAAGATATCTATTCTCGCGCCTCGAAATAAATAAAACTTTTTTGTCTACACGAAAATATTAAGACATTTAATCGAATATGGTAAAAAGTTGAATGCTGAAATAAATTCACAACGCTTGACCTGCGATTTCGAACAAGTCACAGAAAAATTCTTGTATAGATATTTTTCCACATATCAAAATCAATCGCTATTTCTTTTTATGCTCAATCGTTGTGGAGGAAATTCCAGGAAGTTGGTATGATGTGTTATTTTGAAAAAACAAATCACAATAATAATGTAATACCGGTGGATGAGCAGAGAATAGCTGATCATCGGTTCATCAAGCTGAAGCATCTGAAATTCGTGCTCCAAAAAGTTTAGACTTAATTAGCTTTAATATAATTTTCCGTACCTGTTGCCTAATAATTATTGGTGGAACTAGAGCCAAATCAATAGTTGACAAAAACCAGCAAAAAAAACGTCTACGGTACGGAATATTATGTGAGTATTAAATGATTGTACACACTTTTGTTGTTGTTTTCTTGTCTAGCAATGGTTCTGCTTGCTGAGAAGACGGCACGATGATTTTGTTGAGTGGGAGATGAGGACACAGTTTTGTTGTTGTTGTCATGTCTAGCAATGGTTCTGCTTGCTGAGAAGACGGCATGATGATTTTGTCAAATGAGAGATGAGGACACATTTCTGTTAACTGGGTGAACAACTGATTTGGATCGTAGAATACCTCAAGATCCTGGATCATCAAGTGCTCATTGACTTTGGCCACACAGACGCCATAGAGTTCGATCATTTTGAGCGTTGCATCTGCCTTGTAAATCTTACCCGATTGGTTGAAACACGAAAAAAAATCCGTCATACGGCCGAAGTGCCGCCATTTAAATGACACCGTCGGCGGACCCGAATAAAGTTCAGTCAGTTCCCAAGCGAAACCTTCGCCAAATGCCCTCCTAAATGCTAAATGGGATTCTTCAAATGTGATTAATTTCGAACTGTAATAGGCAGTTTCGCCGATTAACGCGTTGTAGGTGCCTTGCTTCGCTACTTCATAGCCCGTATACTGTTGGCCGCCGTTGCACGAAAATCTATAATTGGCCAAATCGACCGTTTCCCATTGGGATGGATTCGGTTTGTGACTGACTTCCTTTTCCCAATTTTTGACGATATTCTGAATGATAAATTCAAGGGAGTTGGGTGAATGACTTTTACTCTTGTGGGCGTCGAATAATTTTTTCGCTTTCGTGTAATCGGGCTTTCCGTTACGCCATACCCCGTCTTTATTACTCATAGAATCTTTTAGAACGGCATCACAATCGACGGCATAATGGGGCAATGACATACTAAAAGAAAATAACCTGTTACCATACGTATTCCATTTAAAGGTAGCAGGAATCGAATATGTTCAATCCTTCTCTACAGGAGAAAGAGAAAGTTAGACGTCTTCTATACATGGAGAACTGCCGTGCAAAATGTAGCATCTACTCTCTTATTTTTTCATGAAATGTGCACACAAAAATGTCACGGTTGCATTCACAACTAGGGAATAGCATTCTAGCTGATCATTTGTTATATCCATTCGTCCATTCCCATGTAATTTACTGCATCCCTTCAGTCTACAGAATATAATATGATGTCCCTTCTTTGTGGAAACTTACTTGAGGAAATTCTCTAACGACGAAGTGACAGAGTATTTGCTATATTTCTTCAGCTTCAAAATATTTCTTTGTCGCTGTCAACAGGAAATAACTACAATCGAATGGAAACTTGAGAATACTAAATCATTCTAGATATTACTTTTTGACGTAGATCCTTCTTTTTGCAAGGATGCATAAAAAATTAATTAATCTTTCTGCATTCATCTTGTAATGTTCACAAGTTATAGAAACTCATTTGATACGTTTCTCTCATCTTTACTTTTTCTTTATTCGATTGCATCTTTTATTTAGTAATTCTTTTGTATTGAATAAGGACAAAATTAAATAGAAGTACTAGTAGAAGAACAATAAAACATTCAAAAAAACTATAAATAAATAATGCTGTCGATTGCGTACCAGATTATTGCGTACAAATTCTTCTGTTTTACTCTAATTTTTAGATCTTTAAGTTCGTTTTTGTCGAAATCGTTACTTTTATAAATAAAATACACTTGATACTATAGTTTCTTCCTTATATTAAGAAAAATATTGTATCTTAAAGAGGCCTGATAGTATGACAGTAAAATGAATGATAAAAGAGATATTCTCTTTTTTCTTTAAATATGTTATTGATCGCTTGTTAAATGAATAAAGTAGCCTGGGGTAAATTATGATCAGTCGATATCTGCTCGATGGAAATTGATTAGTACTAATTAACGCTAATGAATTTTAAGACAATTTTTACATGAATCGATAGGTAAAGACACAGCTCAATCTACCTGTGAAATATCCCTTTCTTTTGGTGAAAAATAGAATCTGCAGAGCTTCAAGAATATTGCGAAACTTTTGTACCCTGATCATATTTAGCCCAGACTACTCTATATGGAAGAAAATATTTTTTTGCCTTTCTTCTCAATAGAAGACTATTCTACACATATAGCGACTAAATAAAAAAATTCAGAAAATATAAAAACGGCAAAGCCGCTTTGACAACGAATCAACTAAATTAGTCAATATCATCTAGAAGATTACGTATAAAAGGCGATGGTTTACATATTACCGATGAAATAGGATGTAGTGAACAACATCAAATAGAAAAAGAGTAGAATTGTCTTCATCAAAGCCAGCGTTTAATGGTAAAAAGCTTTCCTGCCTAATAATTTGAGAAATATCTAACTGTGTCAACACATAAAACTGCCTTGGTTATATATGTTTTTGTAAAACGAAAAACAGATTGAATACATATTATTGCTTACAGCTTGATTATCCGTTTATATTCGTAAATTATTCTTGTCTTTTCTTTTTTTTAACACTGTAGAAGTTTCAAGTCAACCGACCCATGGCAGTAAACTCACTACCAGCACAAAACTTAAGGCGTAGCAATCGTATTGCAGCTAGACAAAATCTAGTAAACGTAAATTCGAACTCTAATTCTTTATTAAACGATAAAGAATGAGATTTATTTATATTTTCCAAGTATGTAATGGCATCTGCATCGAGATCATCATCATCCACCAAAAAAATGTCTACATCTCCTTTGACGCACCAAGTAAATTCTATTTTGCTTATCGAAATAATGATGCTGCTGTTACAGCACTTCTTAAAACTGCATCACTTGACGAAATAAATGGTCTGATGCCTGATGGAAGTATACAATTACATGCAGCTACCTACCATGGAAATAATGATATTGTTAAATTATTACCTGATCATGGAGCATCGAGAACACTTAAAAATAGATACAACTATACTCCTGATGATGAAGCAAAAATGGATGATACAAAACGATTGTTTCAACGTATCACAGAAAATAATCGTTTTATTGGGCACACAGGACCGATTGAATGAATTTATGTCGACGATGATCCAGAAGCAGACGCATTATTTAAAAAAAAAGTTTAATGAAATGTAAATCGGACGCTGATACCACTGATCGACTACCAACCAAGGGAGGAAAAGCGCACTTCGGCACTCTGCGGAGTGCCGGAGTGGCTAGGTGTGGTTCGGAATGACTCGGAATGGCTTGGAGTTTCGTAGAATTAAGAAATTTTATTGAACTCAACTGTTCCAGAAATCTCTGTTCCCACAAGCAGAACAAAAACGTTCTGTTTGTGGGAACAGAATTCACAGAGCAGAACATAATTGCCCAGTTATCCGGAAAATTTCACAAATAAAAGAGCCGGATTGTTCTGTTTTGGAAACACGATTGTTTGTGTTTTCGGGAACCGGTTTGTTCTGTTTTGAGGGGAGAATATTGAGAAAAATATCCCAATTTTATTCTAAAAGAAAACAACACACTCCGCCACTACGGACCATTGTACGGAGTGCCGGAGTGCGGTGGAGTGTGCTTTACTCCGCGGAGTGGCGGAGTGCGCTTTTTCTCCCTTACCAATCGGTATTAGGGATGTTAATTTAGTTTTACTGTTCATTTATAATAATAGATAAATATAAATTCATCATTTATATTTATTTTCTAAGATAACACTAAATTAACACCCCTAAACGATGTACAAAAAAGTTATATCAACAAGAAACTAGCTGACGCGCATAAGATGAGTCATATTCATTGGCTTTGTGAAGAAACCGTAAAACAGAACGATCCACGATATGTTGTTAACGCTTAAGTACACAACTGAAACTGATTTTTATGTTCGTCTTAATACCGATTTGGTTATATGCACAAATATTGGAGCGGTGATAAACATGAATGATATGTTGCATCAATTTTTACATTTCATTCAGCATTGGAACCCTATCGATTTACAGGTGAAACTTATCGCGGAGTTAGAATGTCCGATAGTGATTTGAAACAATATATTATTGGTTTGAAATTCATGAATAAAATATTTTTGAGTATACCAAAAGAAAGTTCAAATGCTGAACAACTTATGAATGATTTAAACCCAAGACGAAATACTCAGGGACCGCGAAAGTGGGAGGAGCGGAGGCGGTGTACATCCCCAATAAATGAAAATTTTGGAATTTTCAGTTATACAAAATAGACAATAGTCTTTGTTGATTCCATAACCTAATATTCAAAGAATGGCTTCCGATATGAAAGATGGTTCATGTTCATGTGCATCTTTCAAGAAAAATAACAGTTGAAAGCGTAGGCGCGTTCGGCGGCTGAATTTCAAATAAGAACTATATATTTGCTTTGTCTTTCAAAAAACAACCTAGTTCGTATTTTATTGAATAATACATATTCCAATTGAACTTTTGTAGTACTGTTCCAGAAAGCTGCCGCCTTCGGCGGCTCATTATAAAATAAAAAAAGATTTTCTGTCACTCGAAAAATCGAGTTTTTATTTCAATAAATTATATATTTTTCGAGATTTCCTTTTTAATACTGCTTCAAAAAGCTGCCGTCTTCGGCCATATGCACTTATGAAACAAATACTGATTTGATAGTTCTAATAGAACCATTTTGTCATCAAAACATGCTGATTTTAGCAAATGAAAAATAATTTTCGCTGCGCGGCACTCCAAAAAGTCATGCATAGAAACAGCGACGGAAAACGATTTTTACACTTATGGCAGAAAACACCTTTACTACCCCTCCTCCCACGTCCGTGCCCATCGTTAGGTAATCTTTCATTGTGCACACATCCGTTGAAAAGTTTTAGGACACTTACACCCTTCCCCAATCCTACACCTTTCATGCGGTCCCTGGGAATGCTTTTAGTGAATTAATAAAACATTCAGTTCTCTGTGAATATATTATAAAATATCCAACATCAGCACTTGCCATTGAAGATCTATCAAAATATCCAAATGAAAAAGAAGTACTCATTCTACCATATGCATCATTTGTTGTAAAACAATTACAAAAACCATCAAAAGAAGGTGAAGTAATTCTTTTCTCAAATGAAAAGTAGTTATTCTTATAATCAAATAACAATCAGTTATCAACCTATGAGGTAGTCCATCTTTAATCAGCTTTCCTGTCTGAAGTCGCCCAGCTGCTACACCATACTGGCCGGCCAAAGGCATAAACCAGAATCAACTATCATCTCTAAGGCAAGCGAAACAATAGTAACAAAACAAAATAGACAACATCTCCATAAGTATATAAATAGTTTGCATCATATTTTTTTCAGTGATACGTTGTCTGAATATTATAAGTTATGTAAATAAATGAGCAAACGAGAGTGCAAAGATAGACAACTGTGTCTGCATCATCCAGTGTAAAATCAAGTCCAATTGTGCGAGTATAAGTTCGATACCAAGACATGATCCTAATAGTTTAGAAAAAAAGAGCGTCACTTTTTTTAACTGTCAAAGCGGTGATTCTGAAATTTTTACAAAAACAGACACTATCAGAAACCTGATCGAAATTTGAACGGGATTACCTACTATCCAAACGACGCCACTCGACAAAAGCTGCTGTTATTTCAATTTTATGCACATGCAATGTATAATAACCAAATCACGTTGTTTCTCATTTTATACCACAGAGCACTCCGGAGATAAAGGCCATCTTCGATAAAGTTCAGATATTCGGGAATCGTAATAAGATCGAACCATGAGTGACTGCACCATGCGTACATCATTAATTAAAGACATTCACACTGTAAAAAATAAAGTGTGCCCGCACAGTGTGCATCCAGGCGGACATTAGGCGAAAATATAAAAATTGACTTATGAACGATTTAAACAGTGCAACATATACTTCAAACTATGGGCTATTTAATAGCGTTAGAAGTTTTGCTACGAAGTTCAACTTTAGTGGAAAATCAGCTAATTAAAAATTAGCCTGAAAATAGCGTGATGGTCAGAAAAATTAATTTTTTACACAAAAATGGCTAGTACAATCAGCAAATGTATTGTTAATTCTGAATCTCCACATCATTTAGTGTATTTTAGTAAAAAAACTTTCAGTTTGAGCTAAAGAATGTTGAGAAAAAAATAAAAGTTTTTCTTAAATGGTTTTCCAAACGGCTAAGTTTAGCAAAATGAGAGCGCCCTTCACATCCCTCTTTGGACCTGAACCAAACTTTGACAGAATGTTCTCCTATATGAAAATTATCACCACAGTTAGCACAAATTAGCACAAATATTCATGGACTCAGATACTGGTTTTCCAAAAAATCCTTGGTTTTCCAGATATCTCCCATTTGTCTCGGCCTAGAAATGTTTTTATTGAATAAAAATGACTTATTCCGAATCAGCGCAAAAAACTGCATCGAATGATAGTGCGTTCGTAGGTTTTTCTGAGCAAAAACTTGTTGGATCTAATGAAATACTAAAGTCGAAGCACAGCGTGACAGTTTTGGCTAAGGATTTTGATATTTGCTATAAAAGCAATCCGAAAGTCTACAAACACTTTTTTCATAGGTTTTCAGATATGCTCTTTCCAATGGTATACTTTATAATGTTTCGGAATACTTATGTGTAGGTTTTCTATGGACACGGTCTCTGGAGAACCCAGATGAAAATCTCTTTAAAATTGGTAAAGCATACCATTGGAAAGAGAGCATCTCTGAAAATCTATAAAAAAGTGTTTATAGACTTTCGGACTGCTTTTATAGCAAATGTAAACGAAATGCGAACGAAACCAGCTTTATACATAAGCCAAGGATAGTAGTGGGTTATCAGTCAAACGTTTTCTAGTTATTTTCAATGTTCTTCTATCAAACATTTACTAGGCTGTAATTCTCAACATTTTCACGACTTCCTTTAAATGAATCTTTTTAAAGAGAGTCTCGCACAATCTACGACAAATCTACACATCAAAATATTGAATAATGCTGAAGTGACATCATTTACAAGTAATATGACTGTTCTTCGATTCGTTTGTGCTACAAAATGTAATTTCACCATTCTTTCTGTACTGTGTACACAATGCATCATGTGTAACAGAAACGAATAAATTGAAAGAGAGAGAACAGTTACACTTCTTTTTTGCTACATCATACCAAAAGAATTAATCAACAATGTCTTGGATGTCAACTATTTATCAAGATTTGATGGCTTTAATTGCTAAAGACAAAACTTTCTATTACAAAGACCTTAAATTTCACAATTGTAAATACCGAATATTCAACTATCGTATGGCTGGTTATGAGTCATTTCAATCGAATTCGACAGTGGCTATGAATTGTCGTGGAACGATGTTCACTATTACACAGCAGGGTGGTGCTGCCCTTGTCTGTTTGCCGCCGGAAAAGTTCTTCGATTATGAAGAAGGAAACCGACAGCAAGAACATTTCGATAGGAAATTCGGCGACAAAATGGTTAAATTGGACGGTTCATTGATATCGACGTTTCTGCACAAAGGACGCGAAGTGAGACTAAAATCGAAAACATCACTTACATCCAAGCAAGTCATGAAAGCAACTCAATTGTTAACCGGTGAGAGTATACCCTCAGAAACTGAACAAGCCGTACAAGATTTTGCTTTTAGTTAAATTTGAATTCGTGGTAATCGTAATAGTCAAAATTTGAGCTTCTAAGTCAGTTCCTGACACTAAATGATCGGTGCACTAACTAATTTAACTTTTCTTACTACACAAAATTGTCTTTCTTTGTTCGATACACTTGTATTGCGGATAACGAGTTGTCGGAATTGTCTCATTTAAGCTGCAGCGGGCCACAAACTCATCAATTTTTGTACGCTGCATTGAGGCTCTGAAAGGACGTTTCATAGCTTATTTTGCACGAAATTGTAACTACCGAAACAGCATTAACATTTTTACAGTACTTAACTCTCACATTGAGATGGTTATTTCAAAAATTAACCTTTGAAAATTTCAGAGTTTAAGTTATTTTAATTCTTACATTTCAAATTTAACTTTGAAAAATTGAAATCTCGCAAACTTTCTTCAGTTCTGGAAGTTTATTCAAAATTCGACATTTTGCTCGATTATCAAGTGAAAGATGGCGCTCCAGTGAGCAGTGAAACCGATTTGTCGCAGATTTGTATGAGACTCTCTTTAAAAGATTCATTTCTTCGCCGACACATTTTCTAATCGAAAATTTTTTTTAGAATAGCTTAGCTCTGATTTTGTTACAAGAATGGAATGAAATTAGCTTAGTAAAACTTTATTTTTATATTCTGGCACCCACGTATCATCCCTAAAGCTCTGAATGCGCCTAAAAAAATATCTGTTCATCTCTTTTTCTTCAGGCAAATTCAAATCTGAAGTTGAGTCCATCGTTCATCTCCACTACACGGTCAACATGGAATACACATCTCCCGACAATCGCGTTATCGTTTCTTATCCTCAGGATCAACTGACCGTTCTGTCAATTCGCAATCACTCGACTGGTGAAACTTTGTTCGGCACAAGATTGGTTCAGTTTCTCATTGAACACAGATTCCCGGAAATTATTCAACACATGGTCTCATTTGAAAGTTTGAACGACTATTGCGATCACAGTCAGTTAGTAACAGCCATCCGTCAAGAATCACATGGTGAAGGCTATGTTGTCGAAATCATTCATTCTCACCCACAACATGCATCCTATTTAGTAAAGATAAAAACACTGAGATATCTCAACAAGTTTAGCCATCAAACAAACAAAGACAGTATCAACAATTCTCAACAACGAGAGGAGGAAAGGGCGACTGATGAGAATAACGATGATTTGAGATCATTGTGCACAAATAACGACTCTGATGATGCTCTGAAGAAAATCGACAGAATGGAGCAAGAATCAGAATAATGTCACATGGTTTAGAGAATTGAAGAATTTTATAATGAAAAGAGGCATTTGTCGAGAAAAGACTATGGAATTTCGGCAAAAGTTGACGGAGAATGTCGAGAGTATATGGATTTAGCAGTGAATTTGTTCGTCGGTAAAGAGATTGATTATTATGCAATTAAATATCGGAAAAATGTGTTCGAAATCAATAGCAGTGAATAGGAGAAGCAGAAAGTGAGCGAGTGTGCTCAGTGCGATGGTGAGACAAGAAAAGTGAACGTGTAAAGGATACAAATTTTGACGTTTCGTAGATCTGTTAGATTGCGCATAAATGGTATTTGTTGCAAACTGCCACTGGTAAATCGATGAAATAATTCATGAGAGCGCTGTAGAAAGCGAACGAAACCAGCTTTATACACAAGCGAAGGATAGTAGTGAGTTATCAATCAAATTTTTTCTAGTTATTTTCAATTTTCTTTTATCAGACATTTACTAGGCTGTAATTCTCAACATTTTCACTACTTCCTTTTCCGAATTTTGACTTCGATCTTTTGTGCTTGGTACCGTAGGGAACTCTAGAAAGTTTTTCTCTTCAAATTTGGCCAAACGATATTAAATTGATGGATAAAATGTATTTGGACATTAATTAATATAGTAACACAACAAATAGATATAGCTAAAGATTATTATTACACGTAGTCAGAACATAAGATGACACATCCGCTCAGAATGAAGAAAAGATATCTATGATTGATTTATATTACTATTAGTAACAAAAGACTATTATTCCTCTGTTTATTAGGACTCCTCGCTAGCACTGCATAATTCTTGTCTATTGAACAGTAATACTTCCATTTTTGGCTAGTATAGCTTTTAGATTTTTGGTATTTTGATATTCTCTCGTGTAGTCTATAACTACGTTTCCGTAACACCAAAACATGAAATATGTACAATTTTTTGTTTTTTATTGAATCATATTTATCATTGCGCACCAACCATAAGAGAAGACTGTTATTAGTATTCTAGTATATCTACTATCCCTGTGTTTGTATTCTAAAAAAGAAAGTCACTGTACGTACGGGATATCCATCATTGCTGTTATGAAGTAAAAGGAATTTTCATCTCAATTAGAAGAAAATAAACACACGTCTGTTATAGGACAGAAAATCAAATTTTTCTCATAAGCTCTCAACAAGGAGTGGTTTCAACCAAAAACGTTTTAACTCAGCAGCGAAAGTAAGTATCAGAAAATGCTTTTCACCAATAAATTTTTTTTAATATTTTGCTCGACCAGAGATATTGCAAATCCATGTTTTTTGTGTGCATTCTTTAAACAATATAACACATTTCACTCTTGCAAGCAAACAATCTTCAATTTTATTTGCAGTTTTCTTCGGTATCTAGGTCGCCGTATGACATGAATGCTAACATCTCTTCCACAATTAACAAGTAGAAATCATAATTATACTGATTTCTAAATTTTTCCTACAGAAAATGTTAGTTTTTACCTTCAAATTTTCCGACTCCTTCTCTTTCCTTGTTGGTGAATACTACCTTTGTCCATTGTGCATAAAGGTATAAACACCAAAAATTACTTTTGTGATCTTTCTCAAGAGCATTTAGTAATCACTCAAAAAGTACTGCCGAATAATTGCAAAAGAAAATCATCATCGCACGCATGTGTTCACGGAGGATTTGAATAAGTGTATAAATCTGCAACTTGCACTTTAATCTGCAGTTATGTTCTTAGCAACCGCAATACTGAATCCAACCGTCAATGTAGTTTTATCAGAAGATGGCGTTGGTGGCCTAATTGAATATATGCGGTTTTAGTGCCTCAAGATGATATTTGATAATATTCAGAATCAGCTACGCTTTTCAAATTTTCGAACATTATAGTTATAATATTCCAAATGTGGATTTTCATTGTAGAATCGCTTTGACCTTGGAAAACCCTGAAAAACGACCTACTAAATTTCGTATTTTTTTCTGGTTTGAGGTTAACCATCTCCCTCCTTTATAAAAAGTGCATGATCGTGTAGAAAATTTGAAGTCTATGATTTGTATGCATTGCATGCTATTTGGACTTATCGTTAAATGAATAATGAAAACTACGAGAGTGTGTGGTTTTTGAAAAAATATCGCTTGGGGTGATAGCCAGTAGATTTACTTTGCACGAAAAGTGAGAGTTTAAATACCACCGACTTACAGAGATCGATTTTATATCAATGACAAATAGAGAAGTTGTAGATGAGATTGTTCTCGATTATATAAGTGAAAGCTGGAACAAGATCGCGTGTTTCTTGTGATTTGTAGCTGTTTGATGAGCTTTGCCGAATTTTAGCACATTTTTGTATCTGAGTTTTGACAGTTCAATCAACGGGGTACTGTAATAATTGTGTAATTAGAAAAGGTGCTCAGTATTTCATATTTTCCAGATACTCCTCTGTCTCTTAAGTGAAGTGAAAGAAAAGTTTTAAGACATGATCTTTCACCTGAATTATCCAGTATTTAGTTTAATGAGCTCAAGATATCGTCATGAAATTGAGATCACTTTTACGAAAGAATGAAGAGAATCGAAGAAACTTTATTTACAAGTCATTGGGAAACATACTTGATTGTTTGACTGTGCAAAATATACATGTGTCTAACAAATATTTAATTCTATACTTGAAATGTAAGAAAAAGCAAAACGGTAGGAAACAACCGATACACGTGGTAAGTTAACACATGACTAGCAAAATTCCCATAAAAATAGCATTAGACAGACAAAAAGAGAAATGGATAATGTATTTGTGAACTATAGTTAAATAATGATTAAAGAAAGTAAGTGACTCTGTCCTTACTGTCTACGTGAGTCATAAAGTACATTGTCTACCCGTTGTTAGTTGTAACCACAAATTCTTCTTAAGACTGAATCTGATGCAATAAATACGAAGAACTTAGAGCACTTTAGTATTCATTTATGATTTGGTCGGGGAGGTTGTAGTCGGAGGCCTTGTACATCTGTAAATGCCAAGTTCGTTACCTTTACAAACGTTTCCACAACATTGGATATCGCTAGAACATCCATCAGCGAGATCAAAACATTTACTGCATCTAACACTTTGACCATTTACCCTCACATAAGAACCACTCGCACATACGAGTGTAACTGATGTATCCGTCGCATTTTTAATCAATGTGTAGTATTGCTTTGGACAGTTTAGTTGATTTTCTGCGCCATTTTTAAGACATTGATACTTGTTATTTGGATTGTTTGGATCTACACCGGTACATTGAGTATTTTGACAAAATTTCCCCTTATTACAACCAGTACAGAGGCCCGTACAACCAGCACATACACAAGCTTGTGCATCCAATGTTGGTAATAATGATAATAATACAGTAATTAAAAAATACATCCCAAACGAAGACATGTTATCACTAGACTTGTTCAATCAGCCTAATAGTGTACTGAGATTTGCGAACAAATTGCGACGTACTTATATAGATCATGCAAATAATAATGACGAAAAGTTTGATTTTTTCTAATTACGTAAATATTACATTCGACTTTTGTCCTTATACATATTTTTCTTTGTTATGAAGCTTAACAAGGGAAAAACATTTGCACAAGTACATAAAACACCATATCGATTTTCGCAGGTGAATGATAATACAATGTGTTTGACGTGTTACATACAGTACGATTATATAATATAATCATAGAAAAGTATTTGTTTATCTTCGCTTGTCAATATCTATATTATTGATGAAAAAT